TAACAATAATATAATATTATAATGATAGTGAAATAATAATAACAATAATAATAATAAGAAGAATAACAATAACAATTATAATAACAATAATATTAATATTATTGATAATAATAATAATAATAGTGATGAATATAATAATAATAATAATAATAATAATAATAATAATAAATAAAAAAAAAATAAATAAATAATAATTCACTGATAAAAAATACTAATTCAAAGATACGTTGCAGTAGGCCTATATATAGCCTACTTAGTAGTTGACAAATATTCTTGGAAATAACATCCAAGTTCACGGACTTTACGATAGAAAACACCCTTTGTGTCTTAGTTTGATTCATATTGATGAAAGTCCATCTTGACAAATGAAGGAGAAAGTATAAAAGATAATGAATGACGTCACAGGATATGTAAATGGTCGGTCAAGTTTCAAAACATTTGTTTGTTTGTCAGAAACCAAAGATTCACTTTTCTGTGATTCGAAGCTGCATGTTCGGGTTCAATTCTACCCAATCTCAGTGTGTTTTCTTTTTCCTCTTTTTCTTGTCATCTTTTCTATAAACAGTTATTTACTGTAACTATACATCGGAATAGTTACAGCTCGTTTCCATATTAACAGTACTGTGTCCTTATCATTAACAGGAGCAGTTGTAACCACTTTCTTCATTTTTGTCAAATTTGCACATTTCCCTCTACCCTCTCTCCCCCGCTCTCTACCCCCCCCCCCCCCCCCCCCCTAAGCCCTTCCGCTTTGCCTCAAGTACCCGGGGCGAGCTGGTCGACGGGGGGAGGGGAGGGGGGTCACCCGGGATCACCTTTGGCACAAAAAGTTCGACCACTTGGGAGAAAGGGTCCGCTGACTGCGACTCAACAGCGCCTGGCGAAGTCGCTCTCGCCTTTCTCTCTCTCTCTCTCTCTCTCTCTCTCTCCTCTCTCTCTCTCTCTCTCTCCTCTCTCTCTCTCTCTCTCTCTCTCTCTCTCTCTCTCTCTCTCTCTCTCTCTCTCTCTCTCTCTCTCTCTCTCTCTCTCTCTCTCTCTCTCCCTCTCTCTCTCTCCCTCTCTCTCTCTCTCCCTCTCTCTCTCTCTCTCTCTCTCTCTCTCTCTCTCTCTTCATATTCTTGACAACCATTGCGTGTATATATTTCTGTTATGCAATCGTCTTATAAAAAATATTCTTATCTGTGAACACGACTTTAGGGCAACAGTTTTATATATATTTAATCAGTACGATTAATATGAAACTAGTTATCTTGAAATCAGTGAGCAAATAATCCCGATTCTAAAAACTGCTACGACCTGCAAACAGAAGATACAATATCAAATAAATAAACAAATATACAGCATTAGATAAATAAAGAAAGATACAGCATTATATAAATAAACAAATATACAGCATTAATTAATAAAAAATATACAACATTAGATAAACAAACAAAGACACAGGATTAAATAAACAAACAAATATACAACATTAAACAAATAAACAAAGATGCAGCATTAGATAAACAAACAAAGACACAACATTAAATAAACAAACAAATATACAACATTAAATAAATAAACAAAGATGCAACATTAGATAAACAAAGACACAGCATAAATTAAATAAACAAATATACAACCCTAAATAAATAAAGATACAGCATTAAATAAATAAACAAACATACAGCATCATATCCACAGCAACACCGAAGGCTCTGCTTCCAACAGACGCAACATTAGCTGACGAAACTGATAACGTTAATGACACACGTTATCAGTTTTCCGTGTTTTCTGCCGTAATGGGCTGCTTAGTGTCGCATTCATGAGATTTTACAACGCCCTGTATTGTGAGAACTGTTAGACGTGAGTCCATGTATTGTGAGCATAGACGTCCATGGTGAGCATGTATTGTGAGACTGTTACACGCGTATTGTGAGCACTGTGAGACGCCCCTGTATTGTAGCACTGTTAACGTCCATGAGCTGTGAGACGCCCCTGTATTGTGAGCACTGTTACACTGTGTGAGCACTATGTATTGTGAGCACTGTTACACGTCCTGTATTGTGAGCACTGTGACGCCCCTGTATTGTGAGCACGCACGTCCATGTATTGTGAGCACTGTGAGACGCCCCTGTATTGTGAGCACTGTTACACGTCCATGTATTGTGAGCACTGTGAGACGCCCCTGTATTGTGAGCACTGTGAGACGCCCCTGTATTGTGAGCACTGTTACACGTCCATGTATTGTGAGCATAGTTAGACGCCCTGTATTGTGAGCACTGTTAGATGCTCTGTATTGTGAGCACTGTTAGACGCCGTGTATTGTGAGCACTGTGAGACGCCCCTGTATTGTGAGCACTGTTACACGTCCATGTATTGTGAGCATAGTTAGACGCCCTGTATTGTGAGCACTGTTAGATGCCTGTATTGTGAGCACTGTTAAACGCCCTGTATTGTGAGCACTGTTAAACGCCCTGTATTGTGAGAACGGTTAGACCCCCTGTATTGTGAGCACTGTTAGACGCCCTGTGTTGTGAGCACTGTTAGACGCTGTATGTTGTTAGATTGTATTGTGAGCACTGTTAGACGCCCTGTATTTGAGCACACTGTTAGACGCCTGTATTTGAGCACTGTTAGAGCTGTATTGTGAGCATGTTAGACGCCCTGTGTTGTGAGCACTGTTAGACCCCTGCTGTAGACGCCCGTATTTGAGCACTGTTAAAGCACTGTTAAGACGCCCTGTATTGTGAGCACTTTAGAGCAAGCACTGTTA